GCATCCTAATAGAGAAGGGCCAAATGGCCAGATATCTCTAGCATCTCAAGAGTCAAAGACAGAATAAAATAAGACTAAAAAGCCATTAAGATGCTCATTTGGAAAGCCCAAATTACTGGCCTACCACTGGGGAGGAACAACGCCAAGCAGCTTCTCTACCGATGTCTAGCAATGCCTAGTAAATGACCAGGTGCCAGTTCAATGCCTTGCAGTGCACTGATTGGCGTTACTGGCCCTTCATTTACAGCTACCTATACCAGTGATGCAACCATATGTAGTAAAAGCTGGGAGGATCCATCTCTATGATTAGATAATTTCATGTGGGATCATAGGATTTGAAGCTGGAAGGGATCTTAGTCCTGTCCCCTTATTTAATAAATGAAGACACTAAGAATCATGTTCGAAGTCACAGTAGTACTTTGTAGCACAGGAGATCTAGGAATTGAACTTGATTGGGTCCTCTGACTCCACACAATTTTGCCTTTCCCCTAAGGTTCCTTCCAGCTGTTCCTGTGAACCCTTATAAGGGCAAACCAGTACACTGGAATCAAGAATGAAAATTAACCTTAAGATGGGCCTGGCAAAGGGCTAGACATAGTATTACAATCAGGTGATAGGAAAATACAAGTCTAATACGAAGAAAAGTCACAGAAAGACCCAGAAAAGTGAAAGTGAACATGTGGAGAAAAGTCAAGGTTTCTGAGAAACTTGAATAAAGTTAATAACATTTTTTCTTTCACATCTCCATCTCTCTCATTATATTAAGCATAATTTTACAAGCAAACAATTGTACAGAATATATTTTTGTGTTCTTGAACTAGAAGTTCCCAATTACGTAGTAAAGTGGTATCTTCTAGATCAGGAAGTTTTACCTGAGAGCTTCCAAAATGTTTGGTTGTTGCTGTGTCCATCCATCACTCTCCACTTTGCTTCAGTTTTCTACCCGACCTTCCACAATGTTTAAGGTTTGTAAAGAGCTTTTCCTATCTGATCCTCACAACTCTGTGAAGTGGGTGTTGTAGTACCTTCATTTTACAGATAAGGATACTGAGGCTGAGAGTGATTTGTTCAAGGGTCTCCCAAGTACTGAACATCTGAGGCAGTATTTGAACAGAGGCATTCCTGATTCCAAATCCAACACTGTATGCATGATACTTAGCTATCTCTATACAGGGACCGAAACAATAGCCCCTTCCCCACATCCACCAAGGAATCACACAATAATCTATGATTCTCTCCAACACTCCACTCACGAAACAATTCTCCAAACTCTCTCAGCGACTTCAAAGAGGAGGAGCCCTAGCCTAAATTAGCAAAGTACATACAAAATGATAAAGAGAAGCAGAATATTCCAAGTCCTTTCAGCTTACACCAAGTGACCCACCCCCACCCTGAAAAGGTCTCTAGCTTTATCAATAAATGTCCTTCCCAGTATGTGGCACTGAAAACTGAGCTCAATACTTGAGATGATCTAAGCAGGGCAGAGTATGGCAGGACAGAGTGCAGAGCACAGTTCCTATCCAGGAACATTACCTTTATTAATGCAGCCTAAGACAGCATTACTTTTGACTGCCACATTATTCTAAAGTCTTATTAAAACCAGGATGCCAAATCCCTCCAGATCTTTTTCTGTTCAATTACTTATCTAGTATTGCCTTGTACTTGTACATCTTATTTTTGTGAAGGGAATTTTTTAATCCAAGTATAAAATTTTACCTTTATCCCTAATAAAATTTCAAACAATTTGATGTGATGTAAACATTTTTATTTGGAATGCTGATTTTGAAAACCACTCCATTAGCTATTACTCCCTATTACGTCATCTGTAAATTTGCTACGTATGCTAACTTCATTCAAATCACTGATAAAATACTAAACAGCACAGTCAAGCATGGATGGACCCCTGGGGCATTCTACTGAAGTCTTCTTTCCAAGTTGATATGAAATCATTAAGGATTATTCTTTAACTCTGGCCATTCAACCAGTACCAAATCCATCTAACAGAGCAACCTATCATCTATCCTACATCTGTCCTGTTGAAACCTGACTAGGTGCTACATATATGAGCTTTAATAAGGCAAATCCCTCAGAGTGGTCATGCTCCAAATATTAGACTTTACTCCAGAAAAAAGCAAACACCAATGATAAAATAACTATGACCATTCTCAGTCACTTCACTGTTCAAGGCCTCAGTTTTCTCATCTACAAAAAAATAAGTAGGACTAGATGACTGCAGTCACCTGAGTTTTCACATTCTATGATTCTAATACCACCTTACCTCAAAATAAAAATTATTACTAAGCAGTAGTGCTCTCCCACAAGTTGGTACTTTTCCAGTCTAATAAAACAGCCTGTCATTGTAGCATCTGTACTAACAATTCATCCCATGCAGATGGAGAATTCAGAAGATAAAATTTCTTAGAGTCAATATAAATGTCAATAATTTGTTTATCACAAAAGTTACATGCAAGTGGTCAGTGTTCCTTAGTAAGGAACTTTTCTAACAGATGAAAAAAACACATGAACTGATAATCTCTTACAAAAATATTAACACTTTCAAAATTCAAAGTCTCACTTCAGGTTTCAAAAAGGTTATGGAATATGCTTTATCATGCTTAAAACTACCTACCACTAAAAGTGCTGTAAATCAGTTAAGCTGTGAGAAACCAATAGTTCAGGTTCTAGTTCATTTTCCAAATTAACCACATTTATTAAGTTACAGTACTGTGCATTTACTAATTTATTACAACAAACTCTCACAAATGATAGTCCTAAAAAAGTGCAACTTTAAACAATGCCTCCAATTACAGATGTTTTCCAATTAGCAGGCATACATTTAGCATATATGGAAACACTAAAAGTATTAAAGGGACATAGAAGGGGTTCTAAGGCTGATCCCTACCAGACCAGAGAGAAAAGTTTTTCTTTGGAAAACACCCCACCATCACCATTCCAACCCACCTCCAATTCACCTGTTCATCCTGTTCCAGAGTGCACAGTGACAAAGATATATGGAATATCATAGAAACATAGATGCAGTGCTAGAAGGGAATTTCACAGGCTAATCCAACCATGTCATTTTACAAATGAAGAAAATGAGGCCCAGGGATGTTGGGTACTTATACAAAATCAGCTAAGTATTAATCATCAGGTGGACTGCAAACCCAGGTCCTCTGACTCCAAAGCCAGTGTTCTTTCCTCTGTATTATGCCCAAAGTCAGTAAGGGGCATTAAAACACTGGTTTCCCTCACAGACCAACAATTTGGATTAACAAAAGCAGTATGACATAGAAAGCACTAGACCAGACTAACACAAAGGAAACATTAGTTCCAATGTCTCGGCTTTGGAGTCTTGGCTATGTCATCGACTTACTGTTAGCTTTAACCAGTGGAGTCACTTCTGAAAAGGAAGAAATTGTACAAGAATAACCTCCCTTCTCACTTTAACAAATTTATCTTTTAAGGCAAATGCCCCCTTAACAGCAAAGTGGTAAATGATACCTTGCTATGAATTAATCAGTTTGTCTAAAACCCAAATAAAATCTATGAGTAGAAATTTTCAAACTAAGTTTTAATAGGATGAAAAAGTTAATTTTATGAGGGAGTAGTAGAGGAAGAGAAGCAGAATATAAGGTAAGGACAAATCTAAGCAGAATGTTCTTGGGGAGTGGGTACAGGAGAGCGAAAAGCACCAGAAGTAGAAGACAAAGCCAACACCCGAGATTTTGTCCAAGGCCCTGTCATACTATCCCCTCAAAAATGTGGAGCATGCAAAGTTGCATGTTATCAAGTCTGCATAAATTGATCTGACATCGTAACTGGGATCCAATTGTATATTACCTAGCAGTATATATGTGCCTCAAATTGTGCAAATTGAAAAAAAAAAAACACACTAGGGCAATGGTGTCAAACTCACATGGAAAGTTTCCTGCAAGTAGCATATAGGCTTAGAAAACCACAAATTAACATCATCTATGTTGTATTTTAGTTTTATTTCGTTAAACATTTTTCAATTACATTTTAATCTGGTTCAGACTGCATTCATTTAACATCTCTGCACTAGGGGAGTTTGTTATTGAAAGGAAATCTATTTCCTTTAAGTTTGGCAAAATAATTCATAATCCTGACCACTGCCAAAAAGTTTGAGGCATTTCTACAGACTATAAGAAACTGACACTGGATCTGGGAAGAGTGGCAACAGAAATGGGAACAAGTTGCAACTGCCAGGTGTAACTGGTTAAGTAAAGAACCCATCCTGAGACAGTATTAGCAAAGGAAAAAGGACCAGGAAATCAGGAAACCTCAACTCTAATGCCATCTGTCAATAAGGAGCTGTGTGACCTTGGGCAAATTATTACTATCCCCACAAAAAAAGCCAAAGAAATGTGCTAACCTGTTAATCTCAAATCTAACTATTCAAAAAAGATTATACTCAAATGTATTAAATACCAAATGTCAACTTCCTGTTAATATAATTTCCCAAACTTAAGGCTGCTGTTTAGATACCAAATGAACAATCTCTTGGCATTTTCACTTTCAATACACAGTGATGTTCAGTAATTTTTAATCCTTAGGACACGCTTTGCCTATTTCTCCTTTTACAGTGATCCCTCAACTGTGTTAAGTATCAAATCTCCAACCACTTTTTCTTTACTCTCATTTTCTAAAGTATTTTCCCCAAAAAAATCTAGGTGATTTCATGGCATAACACATTATGAAGTTCATTAAATCCTCAAATTAAATCTTACCTATCTCTTTCTTCTCCCAAGAAAATAGCACCTCAAAAATTCCATAGCTCTTTGGCCTTTAGATATTCAAAATTACACACCTTGAATCTGCAAATCTAGACATAAAAATCAGCAACAACTTCAATCAATGAATTCTATTAGCCTGGGAAAACTTAATAGACTTTGGTTTCCTTTAGAAATTAGCTTCATTTATTTATATTAATTAGCGATCCAGGTATGATGGCCCGAAACAAAACTACAGACAAGCCCCAGTGGGTTTTTTTTAATATTTATTAGAATTATGATTTAAGGTGTATACTACTCCAGTTGGGTAAACCACATTTAAGAATCTGACTGCAGGACTTTAGATTTAGCCAAATGAGTTTTCCATTAATATTGTCTTATGTCTCAGACATTATGATTTTTAAGTTCTTAATACTTTAGCCAAGCTCAGGTCACTGCAGTGTAAGATGTACTGAACCCACTCATGCCAAGTTAAGTCTGCCTACATGGAAACAGAACTGACCAGCTGTGGAGGTTAAAGGATCAAAGGATCAAGCAAGGTTAAGAAGAGGTTCTGGTTTCCCAAACTAAACCATATTTTAAGTTCAATGTACACTGTTCTTAAAAGACCAAAAATGTCTTCTAAGAGCTATTTTTCCAAAAACAAACAAACAAAAAAAAAAAAACACAATATCACACACAAAGGCAATCTTCCATGATTTGTTTTGTAACTGGCACAAGAACGGCTTCAAAATCCTAAGTGCTGGACCTATTTTTCCTTTTAAGAAATTATTCCCCATTCTGCTCATGGGAAATACATGCATCTTTAAGGTTTATTTTGTAAAGAGATGGCAAACGTAAGGACTGGGGCATGGGAGTAGGGAAAGGAAGTACTTTAAGTGACAAGTAGCATTTAATATTAAATGAAATTGAAAAAAAGTAGCCAATATTAAAGTTTAAAAAAGTTTAATGGAGCCTGTCAGGCTTATAAATTGTGTTCTGGCAGACATTAAGACCTGCTTTCTCTTACCAAAGAAAATGGCACAAGTTTATCAAAATTTGACAATTTAGTGTAAAGGGTACTAGGACTAAGATTCAGAGCACCAACTTAAAACAAAAAAAAAAATTGTTATTTCAACTTGGAAAAGAGGAGCTAGAACAAAATTACATAAGGGGATGGGTTAAATCAACGTGTTCCACTACCTCAAACTCCCTTAGGCAAAGGAGTGCCATCCACTCTTAGCATCACATCAACACACCCCAATTTCAGCATTCAACTTACAAGCAATAGAAAAACAAAGATGATCCTAGATGCATTTCTTGGTGAATTCTTATGAAGTGGAAGGCTGGGAAAAGTGTTCACAATACATAGGCATTTTCCGTTTCAGGTTAAATATGACAGAGCATTATAATTCCACCTGTGGCTGTATTCCTTACAAGAGGCTGTGTGAGACAGAATGTTTATGTACCTGTAGGGAGGGGTGTGTGTGGGTGTGTGGGTGTGTGTGTGGGTGTGTGTGTTCTCTGCAAAAATGAATGATTTTTTAAAATCATACCTAAATTTTTGTCTTAGAATGGATTTTCATTTCAAGCTCAAGTATGAAAAATAAGGTCAAAAAAGGAGTCCCAGAATTTCAATTCATTCCCAACTTTCAAAGTTCCATTCACATCCAGCCAGGCCAATAAGCATTATGGTCAACTTTAGCGCCCAATTTAATTTAAGTCTTCACAAGACTATAAAGTGGTTCAATAAACTGCCAACTCTAAGTGCTATAATTAATTACTGGAAAATCCCTACATTGATTTGCAATGAATGGTCTTGAGATAAAAACAGGAAATAACCAATAATGGGCAAGGAAACACTCTTATCTTTGTCCTACGTGATGTAAGAATGCCATTTAGTAACTTACAGTGACTGGCAAGCTTACATTAAGTTCTTCATCTAATGAACACTACATTTGGTTCAAGGTATTAGAAGATGAAGAGAAAACATGCTTCAAAACATTGTAGCTATAAGAGGTCTTACATTTGTCCAGGTGTCTATTTGAAAGAACTTTTGTTTAGGTCTACCTAACAATTATAGAACCTGCATGAGATTCCATCTTTTTAAGAATGATATTCCAATTGGTTTCCCCTCCCACCCCCCTTTTTAAACAGTGATCATATCTTGTTCATTAGCAGGCAAAATACATACTTTTACCCTCTACCCAGCCCAAAGTTAACACCTGCCACAAACATGGGCATTCATGAGAAATGTAAAACTGGATATATAGTTGCATACGATACCTACCCCTTCACTAATACTGAACCCAAAAGGAAGCCTATTCTCAAATTTCACGACCTCTCTAAATTTAGGTCACTCAGAATGTAGTCTGCAGTGCTTACACTTACCACAAGGACAGTACCGGCATGTAAATAAGTACATTAATTATATCATTTCAAAACTGAAAATTTTAAGTCTATGAGGTTAATTGGGGAAAAGTTTAATATTGCTACTTTTAGAGCACTAAAACACACAAAGTGAATCCAATAAAGATCCTTGTATTGATTCAATATTAAGTATTAATTGCATGACCATCATAGCACCTCTTTACATTATCACACAATCACCAGAATTATCAACTGCTTTTAAAACTAAAAAGGGCACAGTCCAATATTTATAACTTGCACACTGTTACTATATAGAAACTAGGTGCATGGTACAGTGCTGCGAAAATGGAAGCCTGCAGATTCGACAAAGATGCCAAGTCATGTTTTAGACAATTTCAGTCAACTGGCAAATACTGTTGAAGCAAAATACTCAACACAGCAGGAAATAAAGGACAAAAAAGCATTCTATAACCAAATAAACATCTGATATTTCCTTTCCCTTTAAGAATACAAGTAAGGTCACTTTTAGCCTTGGAACGGATACATGTTTGCCTATGATGATCTTGCTAACTACTACACAATATCTGATGTCCTCTGCTAGGATTATAGTTTAAGAAAGCCATAGTTACAAGAGGCATCTACTGTAATACCTAAAACTTCCTTTATGGCAATCATTATTGAATTCACTTGTCTTAAACAGTGAACAAGGGAAGATGGCCTCATGTTTCCTTTTCAATAGTATGTTGAGGATCAAGTGGCTTTCAAGCAGCATGGTGGGTTTGAAAATTTTGCAGTTTAGATCATTCTGTTGCGTTTATGAGTTGGTGAGTCTGTAATGACATCGCCACATTGGGCTGAGGTACGCTTTCTAGTTCCACCATTGTCCAAGTGGAGTGCCATTTCTTCTGATATGAAAGTGTTCAAATCCACATCATGGAGTCCATTTCTCCTTCGACTAGCATTCGATCCACTGCTTACATGAGTAGGAGAGCCTGGAGTACTTGAACGAACGCTTATACTAGCCATTGCGCCACTAAGACCTAAGAAGAGAAAAAAAAAGTTTTAAAAATTGCACAGTAATGTTATAAAGCATAACACTTAAATTGTGCATTCTATCACGCTATAGAGCAATGGTATTTTGCTGTCTGCATCTTAGTTTCTGTAGAAGGGTCAACCACGGAAAAAGAACAGACAGCTACCTGCCTACAAAAAAACTCATTTTAGGGCATGAATATGTATTATTACTATTATGCCATAATACGTAATTCTTTTGATACGTATTCTCATTTTAACCAGGTCTGAGCTAGCTGATTCCAAATCTTCACTTCCCCAGACTATTTTTAGATTTAACACACCTGTAAGGCCCAACCAAACAACCGTGGGGACTCCAAGGACAAAAAAATGATGCAACTAATCTGGCTTCACTGGGTTTTTTCCCCACAACCACACCCTGACTTTGATTAAAAGCCTCTTCTGGATTTTGGTTTAAAGTTCTAGAAAATTCAGTTAACAGGACCAAAGTCCTGCCATTATATTTTCAGATGTAAAAGGTAAAAAGATGTGATTATGGCATCTAAAGCCATGTTTGGGGAACCATGTCTACTGGGCTTTTTACATGAAGTCAGACCTCACTCCTGAGTGACCAACATAACTTTAAGCCTTTGAAATATGCTTGGGCCAAACTTGGAAACCTGCATCATATGCATGTCTACATTCAAGGAAAAATTGTTATAGAAAATTACAACATCATAGTCAGTAGATTTAAATACCAAATTATGTTTTAATCTGAAATTATGGTCCCCCTTTCATGGTCAATTAAATTTGTCATACTACAACCCTATGTAACCAACTTTTCAAAGACCAACAAGCTCAGAAATAGAGTTTTACATTTTTGTATTTTTAAAAATTTTATTGAAAACGCCACATTCAAACAGCATATTCATTAAGCACCTACTATGTACAAAGGTACTATTATAGGTGCAAAGGATACAAAAAATGAAAAAACAACACAGCCATTGAGAATTTTACAATCTAATTAGGGATGAGGAATGGAGCTAAGACAATAACCTAAAGTATTAAAGTAATGAGAAAAGATCATTTTCAGTTTTGAGGAAGAGTAAACAAAGTTCAAGGAAGGTTTCAAGGAAAAGGTGGCACTTCAGCTGGACACTGAATAAAAATAATTTGGATGGACAAGATTTAATGAGAGTGGCTTGAGGAAATAGGAAATAATCACTGAGGTAGGAATGGACAAAATGAGTTCGAGATCATTTACTGTGCTAGGTTGACCAGAATATGTGTTAAGAGAAATAATACAGAAAAAGTGAAAAAGTATATTGGAACCAGGTTACAGAGTACTTCGAACAGTCAGCTAAGGAAGTAGTATATTTATATTATCTTTTATAAGATAAGCAAACGGAAGACTTCTGAGCAAGCCAATGATATGGTCAGACCTGTATAACAAATATTTTTCTGGCAGCCACGAAGGATACACCGTTTAGAGAAAAGACTAAAGGCAAAAGAAAAGCCTAAACTGGGATAAGGGCAGTGAGTACAGAAAACTACAAAAGATACCGTGGGACATCTTGTTGATTCTACAGGACCTGGCAAACACTAGTATGGGGTGAGTTGAAAATTCGAGCCCCTAACACAAAGGTTCTACATCTGAGCGATTATGCAGAATGGTCATGCAACTAGGGAAGTTTTGTGAGGAAAAAGAGATTTGGAGTCTGAGGGAAATGAGTTCAGTTTTAAAACATGTTAAGTTGAAGGGTATCAATATAACACCCTGGTAGAGTTGTTTAGCAGGCAGTGAGAAATATAGGATTGGAGTTCAGTATACTGTTTGGTTTTAGCTATTATGTAGATTTGGGGATTCATGGCTGGGATGATAATTAAAGCCACGGGAATGAATGAAATTCCCAAGACAAAAGAACATAAATTAGAACAGTTAAATAAGCACAGGTATAGGTGAAAGAACTGGTTCAGGATACAGAAAGTGTTTTGTTTTTTGTTTTTTGGTTTTTTTTTTTTTTTGATTTTTGGTGAAGCAATCAGGGTTAATTGACTTGCCCAGGGTCACACAGCTAGAGAGTGTCAGGTGTCTAAGGCCGCATTTGAACTAAGGTCCTCCTGACTCCAAGGCCAGAGTTCTATCTACCACGCCACCCAGCTGCCCGCAGGGTAAGGAAAGTTTTTATGAACTGTCAGATATATTTTTCAATGCTAGGTGGCTTAGTTTTGTCTGTTTTTAATTGTTAGATGGGAGGGTGCAAGGGAGAGAGGAAAGATAAAAGAAGGGCAAATCCAGAAGGGAGTGATATAAAAGCAAGAAGGCAATGATAAAACTTATTTTTTAATGGTTCTGGTAGAGAGGGAAGCATTAAAAAAGAGGAGGGAATGATGGATAAAAGATCTCAGAAGGAAGAAGAGGACACAGGGCACAAGGGGTTTGCCTTGGCAAGGACAGCTACCTAATTCTTCTAGAATAAGAAAAGGAACACTTGAAGATAGGTTTTGAGATATAGAGTAGAGAATATGAGGGAGCTGACAAAAGGTGGCCTACATCTTAGTTAAAAAGAAGGCAAGGTCATCTATGTATGCAGAGTAGAATAGGGACAGCGGTAGGGACAGTAGGAATTGATACAGCTAAGAGACGTTAAAGAATTAGCCCCTTTATAAATTAAAAAACTGATTAAGAGCCCAAAGTTACAATTACAAAATAGCAGGACTAGGACTCAGTCATCTCATTGAACTCCAGTGCTTTTTCTTTTCACTAAGCTGTGGAAAGAAGAAATGTGCATCAATGAAAGATATTAAGTATTAGCAATTCAGGAATACGGGCGGCAGGGGGTCCTGAAAAGTAGAGGACAGAATTGTTGAAATGAATACCTACAAGATCAAGACTGAAGAAAGAAGTAAAACTAAAACCGTGAGGACTAACATGGAAAACAGGAAATGAAGGATCAAGAGATTAAAGGAAATAAAAAGTATAAACCAGGGATGAAGATCAGTCAAGGGATGAAGATCAATCAAGAGTGTGGGACAGATCAATAGATGGCAACAAGGAATAAGACAGAATAAAAGCATAGTGCCATGATCAGTAAAAGGTGAAGCTGTTAAATGAAGGCTGATGGACCAAGGACATATAGAATAGACAGGGAGAAAACAGTACAAACTCCTCATAAGTCCACAAATTCAGAGTTGGAAGGGTCCCAAAAGAGCATCTAGTCCAATCCCTTCATTTTTCAGATGAGGAAATTGAGGCTTTTAATGGTTAAGTAAGTAGTTTGCCCATGGTCACACAACTAGTAAGCATCAGACATGAACCCAAGTCTTTTTTTCACTTCAGCAGGCTATCAACATTATTCATCTCTTGCTGTTTCCATAAAAGAAGGTCATGAGAAGAGTGGCCAGCCCTGAAGAAAGTCTTCAGAAAGTGACTACTTACCTCTTGAAGGTGAAGAAGGCTTTTGTTAAACATTCAGCAATTTAACGTGAAATTAATTTTCAACTGTGCAAAATAGATAAAACTTTTGAATTTAAAAAAAATCAAAAAGAAAAAAAACCAGGGAAACAAAATGAAAGAAATCCAAGGTGATGGAAACTTTAAGAATAAGGATACACTGCTAACTAATAGTCATAACCAACTATTACTACCTATTTCATGTCTAAATTTTGGTCTTCCAAGGTCTTTTATCTAATTCCACTTCTGTCCAACAAACACCTTCTAACCTCCACTGTCTCCCCTCCCCCAACACATACTCCATCCTCATTTCCCACTTCCTTGTCTTATGTTTAAGCTAGTTCCCTTCCTGAAATAACTCTTTTTCCCTTTCTTGCACCTAAAATCTTACCTTCTTAAGACCCAGATGAAATTCCAGGTAACCTCAATCCCAGATTTAACTCCTCCCCTTTCTCAGCAATCCTATCCAACTGTCAGGACCACATGGTTCAGAATTTAATTACTGTTTCTTAACTGGTTTGAGGTTCTCCTCTGTCTCTAACTATATGTTACATTCCTCAAGGGAAAGAATCATGTCTCACATCTTATATCTACCCCCTGACCCCCAGGAACCTAGCTAAAAAAGAACACTTATATGCTTATTAACAAACTGAAATAACTTTCCTAACTTTCTGCACAAAACAAGTTACTCAAATAATAATAGTAAATAATAATAGTATAATAATAATAACAAGCATTTTTTATAGCACTCTGAGGTTTGTAAAACACTTGACAAATCTTATCTCATTTGGTTACAAATATCTCATTTCATCTTCACAACCCTAGAAGGTAGGTCCTATTATTATACCCATTTTTCAATGAAGAAAGCTGACGCAGACAGATTAAGTGATTTGCTCAGGGACACAAAGTTATTTTGTAAATTATATTCAGAAATAAACATGACCATCACATACTGGAATACACATTGTATTGGAATTCAGTTACTTTGGACTTATTAATCACAAAATAAAGACCTCATGCCCAGGTCCCAACTTCCTCTCACCTCCCATCCCCCTTTACAATATAGGAGAGCAATTTGGGCAGTTCTTGTACCTAGACACAGTACCAACTGCCCTTAATTAGCTCTATATAATAAAATGTTATAAAACTGCCTTCCTAAGCAAATTTGGCCACAGCACATTTTTATGCTTAAAATATATTGATGAAACCCATAATGCCAAGAAGATAGGTTTGCATACATGGAATACCCTCAAAGACAAATCAAATGAGAGGACAGAGAAGAAATTTTGTGACACATAAGAAATTAAGGATACTGAAAATTTCAGCCAAGTAAAACTTTTGATGCCTACATGTTATATTTAATAAAGCAAAAAAAATTAGCATTTTAAGTTTCCCATGTAATACCTATTCACATGTGCAGTTTGGGAAATATTGTTTTAATACTCCAATGTATATGGAATATGTATTTAACATTCCAAAATTTCATCTGATTTTTGATTACTTCAGTTCCTTTATGTGACTTACATAGGAAACCACTCAAATATATTAGCGTAAGTACCTGGTTCTAATAGCAGT